CCCTTGCTCCAGCAAACCCAAACTGCACTAGGGCCATTCACAGGTACCACTGACCAGCACACCCATCACATCCCATGGCAAAAAGGCTGATCATCATTAGTAGAGGACAAAAGCGGAAAAGTTGGAGTGTCACCTTCAAGACAGCCCTATTGGGGCCATGGGATGTGATGGGTGTGCTGGTCAGTGGTAACTGTGAATGGCCCTAGTGCAGTTTGGGTTTGCTGGAGCAAGGGGGGAGGGGGAAGTGCTGGCCAGTGGTGTTGGGAGTGGGCCTAGTGTTGTTCTTGCCTACCGGGTGTATTTTGAGAATTGTGGGGTTGTTGGGGCTGCTGGGGTTTCCTGGGGTGTGGACACTCATTCCTCCTTGGTTACCGGCCCTTATAACCCTGTATGAGGTACCGGCCCTTATAACCCTGATTTCCCTGTCTCCATCCCCTTGACCCTCTTTGACCACCCCTCTATGTGCTCCATCCCATCCTCTCTCTTGGGACTGTGTAGGTGGACAGTGTTGCAATCCCTGAGCATAATAAGCAACCTTACTTCCTGAATCTTTACTTAAGTCAAAACAACCTGCATTTCCCTTCTCTATAACCTTGGTAAGAAACTCTGAGCCACCCAAATTGGCCCAGTCTGAAATCAACTGTTTCACAAGCAAAGAATACTGTGGCAACATATTACCAAGGCATGACTGTATTTTAAGGAGATCCATATCATCTCCAGACATCAAACCTGCCTCATCCTTCCAACACTTGTAAAATCTCTTTACTAAAATACCAATCTCTTCCTTTGCACCTTGCTTACATGCCAAAGCAGTGGATATAGACTGCTTATTCTTCCATAATCTCAACATTTCAGCTTCCACCTTGTCCCACATTTTAGCACATCCTGCTAAAGTACTAAGCTCATAAACACCATCACTGCCAGCCACTCCAACTCCAGTACCGTTGTCTGTCTCACTGATAGAGGGTACATTAGACCAATTCCAACCAGAATCTGAATCATACCCTAATATTCCATTTATAATTAACTGTATGTCTATCTGTGTCATGTTCTGT